TTACCTATTTATGTCAACTAAATTTGTTTATTAAAATCAATAAAAGATAATAAAAAGAGAAACATAGATGAAACTAAATGAATTAAATAAAAAAAATTATGCAAGGCATTATTTCAAAATAATGTTTTTTTAAATAAAATAAAGCTTATTTTTATAAAATGACCTCTATACAAAAAAGACATGTAAAACCCATAGTCTAAGTTATAAGACCAAGATTAACTGATAGAAAGAAGTTGAAGATAACCACAAAACTAATTTTTTTTTATAAAATAATAATGTAGAGTGATAAAATTATAAAAGAGAATGAGGAAAAAAAAGATCAATTATCATATTGACTCTTAAAACTCATGGCTTGTATTATTAGATCAGAAGCATGATAAATAAAAAGGCCATGAAACACAACCCCAAACAAATCAGACATCGAATGATGAAATTAGAAAAAAAAAGAAGCTAATCACATAAAAAATTATAATTAAAAAAATAAGAGTGAAAATAAATAAATAAATAAATTTTAAGGCATATAGAAAATTCAAATTGTAGGGTTAAATTAAAAAGAAAAAAAATTAATAAAAGGAAAGAGAAATTAAAAGAATGAGGGCTAAATTGAAAAAACAAATAAAACAACATAAACTTTGATTAAATGATAAAATTAAAACTTCAACAAAAAAGATAATATGAAATCAAAAGAATAATGAGCTAATTGATAAAAATAATATATGGCAAAATTATATTTTAAGGACTAAATTAAAAAACATAAAAACTTTTCTTAAAAGGCCAAGGACAAAAATAAAAAAGAAAAAACATAAGGACTGAAACTAAAAACTAAAAAGAAAAGATGATGGACATGCACTCTTTCTAAAAAACAAAAAAGAAAAAGAAAAAAAATCATCAATGACTAACCATCCATGGTTCGTCGTCACGCACCACACTAAAAAAAAAAGGTGGAGACGACTTTTTTAAAGACACATGGGAACAACAAAGGCCATTAGGAGAAGCCACACACACTACTTAAAAGGTGTAGACACATTCCACGTGCTAACGCATGAGATTAACGTATTTACAATTTTTTTAAAATAATTAATTATTAAGCATAAAAAATTCAAAACACCCATCATGATTGTGAAATTAACCAATGATTGTGAAATTAACCAAAACTCTACGTAAAAAGATGAAATCACCTTTAAATACTTGCCTTAATTTTCTTTTCATTTTTAAGGGTAGAAAAGATTTTTTACTATTTTGTAAAATAAAAAAGATAAAAATATCCTCATATAATATGATTCATAATATTTTAAAAGAGGGATAAACAAGGGATTTTTTTAAAAAAAAAAAGTTAGAGAAACAAAAATAACCTTTAACCATCCTTAAATTACCAACTGACTATTTAAAAAGACCAGACCACCCTCAAACAAGACACCCCAAATTTTCTTTAATTTTTGTCTATGTGCACAGTGTTTGCTACAACTGATGCGCTTTTTGCTTTTTTTCTATTAATATTAATTTGGCTTCCTTTTTTTTATTTTGTTGACAGAATTTTGCTATCCTAATAACGAATTAATCATGTAAAATCCTTGTTGCTATAGTATAAACAATTATTCTTATAGTTTATTGATAAGTAAAAATGAGAAAAGGATTTTTTTTTTTTTTAACGACAGTGAGAATTTGATTAACAAATGTAAAAACCCATTTACTAGGCAAGCTTGCCTTGTTATAACCAGGTTCCGTCCAAAGAATATATAAAGATGAGAAAAAATACCAATGCCTAGCCAGGCAAGGATTTATTGAATTGTAATTTTAAAAGGTATAATTTAACTAATTAGATTATAAATTTATTTTTTAAAAGTTATCAATTTAAAGTATTATAAATTTTAAAATTATTAGATGTTTATGCATCAGCTGGTTTAAATAGCCATGATTAAAATAAAAAAAAAAAAAAAAATAAAAAAGAAGAAGAAGAAGAAGAAGGATTGATCGAATTGTTATCTGGCCAAGAATCACCTTACTGCCTTGGTACTTTAGAGTACCGTGCAGTAATTTGAATGTCCATGCAGATCTGTAACAGGCACACTTGTGCAAAAGGGAAGGAATGTCCTCTTTTGCTTGAACAGCAAGTCATCGAAATGTCCCTCTAATGCTGCTCTGTTATGAATTGCAATGAATAAAAAGGAGACCGCCGTGCGTGTCTTTATCAAGACCAGCTGTAGATCTAAATCTTAATTAGTGCTTGCACAGTTTCACCATACTCGTGTTTCAATGTCTCAATCAGTCATAATCCATGATTGAACTCGATCGGCTCCTGATCTTTTCTTTCTTGCAAGCTAGCATTTACTTAAACTAATTAATAAGCTAGGCAGTAAATATTGGGGAATATTAGGCAAGCCATGCAGTGTATGCGCACAACAAAAAGAAGCATCGTATACATTATGATCAGTTGCATTACATGCACCCACCACTCTACAAAGTTGAAGCTGTGAGCAATGTGAACAGTGTATTGAGTGGGCTGAATGGCTTTGACTGACTTAGGAGCAGAAAAGAATGGCACGATCAGACAGTGTGGCTGTGAGTGTAATAGGCATCATTGAGGCAGAGAATTATATGCTGGCAATGGGCAAGCAATTAGAGTGATTGCTCCCTTTATTTATTTGCTTTTTGTTTAGCTTTTCTTGCTGGTCAAGGTCATGGTGCTCTACCATCATTGGGGTCTCAACTACTTCCATAAACTCTCACACCTTGTAGCCCCATGCGCCTTATTTCTTGGCCCATGCAACTCTCAACAAGTAAAGGAAAATGAATCCAAGTGATATTTCATCACACACAAAAAGAAGAGATGAGCAACATGGTGTGTATGTGTTGAAAATGCGATCATTGGCATGGAAGCAGAAGCTCAAGATGGTAACTAGGCATATGGTAGCCAGACAACATTCATTCATTTTACATAAGGGAAAAAGAGGACTCCACTTAGTACACTAGTCTGATGGGTAATTGCTATTGCATCAACTACCAAGGGCATATTATGTTTGAGAATACGGTGAAAACTAAAATAAAAAAATATTATTTTAATTTATTTTTAAGTAAAAATCATTTTGAATCGTAACCGTTGTAATAATTTTAAATAGTTACTAAATATTTGTAAGCATCAACGGAAATGTTTACGGTCCTAATTTTCTATTCCTGTGTTGTTACCATGTTATCAAGGTTAAGCAGGCACGATGAGATATTGTCTAGTTCACTTGGATATTTCCAAATATAGTAGAGGAAAAATGGATTCAGATGCAAGTTCTTAAGTGAGACTCACGACTTGAGTCAGGATACAGGAATAATATCATGCAAAGTAAATAAAAATAAATTATAAAATATAATTTTTAATAATTTTAATATTAAATAAAAAAATTAAAAAAATTGATTAAAATCCATTAAGTTAATCTGTCAAACTCACAACTTGGGTTATGAGACTCAGATAATCCAACAAAAAAAATTAAAATAAATTATGAAGTTCAATTATTAATCAATTCAGTATTAAAATATAAAATTAAAAAAAATCAATTAAAAAAAGTGATATAAAAACAATTCAAGTCAACCGAAATTAACCTACCAGACTCATGACTCGAATAATGAGACGGGAAAAACCTCTTAGAAAATAAATCAAAATAAAACATAAAGTTTAATTTTTAATTAATATAATATTGAAAAATAAAATTAAAAAAAAAACTCGAGTCAACAAAGATAACTCGTCAAACTCGTGGACTTGGTTATATAACTGAGATAATCTTATAAAAAAATAAATTAAAAAACAAATTATGAAATTGAATTACAATAAACTTAATATAGAGGATGAAATTAAAATTAAAAAAGAAAATATATAGATTGGACAAAAAAGAAAAAAGAAAAACTAAATACTATTATAGTAGATAATATTTTATAAGAAAGTTACAGTAAAATTTCATTTTTTTTTAGTTTTTTTTAATTTAATGTTAATATTAATGAATTCAATATATCTTCATTTTATTTTTGCTAGGGTTCTCGTTCAAGTGTGGAAGTTCCTAAAATTTTACAACAACTATTTATTTGAGAGTTAAACCCTCTAATTTTATTTAATTTTTTATATAAAATTATCCCAACTTTATAACCAGTGCTCATGTAGTTTTTTATATTAACTTGCTGCCGAATGCTGGATCATTTTTATGTGGCCACTCCTTTCCGTGCCGCATGGATTCATTGATTATGAAACAAGATGCCCAGCATGGAATGAGGATGGTTGAGGTTACTGGGACTCGTTCTGGAAATCCTGAAGGAGTTGTATTTGAGGCTGTCCTACAGTCAAGTCATGTTCAGTTTCGAACTTGAATACTGAGAGACAGTGCAAGACTGGGGATCCTTGGAGAATTTTGGACGCACGTAGCAAATGACAAAAAATTATGATAACGAAGCACGCAGGAATCTCGAACTGGAAACCTCTCGGGCAAAAAGCAAGCCGTGTATTTTGCCTCTGTACTGCAACATCTACGGAATCAGGATTCATCCTTGATGTTTTGCTTTGTTTCTGTAGGCTTAATGAAATCAAACTAATGTTAGACACAGATGGGGAGAATGTAATTTGTCTTAATGTTTATTGAGGCTATTAATGGTGCAATGTACCTTATCCCTGTTAAATATTTTGAAATTTGATTTCAACGATGACATCTGCTGGAAATTTTCCTGGATGGATCATCATCTGCTACCCAGCTCTAAAATGCTACTCGTAAAGCATGCGGTCCGAAAATCTTGCCCATCATTCGTATCCAGTGTGTTGTTTTATGTCCTCTATCTGATTAGAACACCGATTATAAACTCCAACTGTCATGTTTGGATTCCGTGTTATAACAGAAAATAAAAGCACCATGTATGGGCTTTTACAAGACAGATGTTTTCAAATAGTTTAAACATTTGCAGAATGTGCAAGAGACGGTAAATTATGATTTAAATAAGCGAAGTCGCATGAGGTTTGCACCCTTTGCAGCACTTCTCAGTGATAAACAAACGGCCTCACCATCTCTCGCCATAGCAGGCTTCGCTTTTACAAAATTAGCACAACTCCACCAAAGACCAGAGAATGAAACACAGAGTTCTGTACTTGTAACAGGTGTCATTTCACATATGATTAATATCATACATACCCGTTCTGATATATAGCTCAGAGAGAAGAACAATGCTTCTTTCATGTGAATTTTCTATTTCCATTCAACAATTTTCCATTATGCTAAACCATAGAATGTATGACCCTCTAAAAGAATTGTTTTTATCAGATGCCTTCAAAGAGTATCTTCAAGAATTTTGTCCCCTCTACGTTTCTTCTGACTCCATGGATTAGAGGACATTTCACAGGCGAAATTCTTTAAGCTATTTGACTTTTAAGGCAACACCTCTAAGACAGAAGATGAGTTCAACTTCATGCCATTTCCATATGCAGCAATGAGCAAAGCCTCAGCTCTTCCTGCAAACATGAGATGAGGGAAATAAGTCCTGATTAAGCAAAGGAGATCTAGAGCAAGTTAAAAAACACGTTTTCCTCGGAACTGGTAGTAGTACTGAAGGCTTTTGTAACAATTAAAATATAGCAGTAACTATTATTTCAGAGAAAGACGTGAAGAAGGAAGACTTCCTTTTCTTTTCCTGTAACTTTTCAAATCATTTCTCTTCTTTTATTCCAAGTCAAAAAAAAAAAAAAAAAAGAAGTCTCAAAAATAAAAAAGGGAAAAGGGAAAGGAGAGGGGGAGGACGGGAGAGAGAGAGTGAAGCGACAGTTGAAAAAAAAATGTGACATCAATAGACCACGTCAGCAATACTACATCAACGATTCAAAGAGGTTTTACCTGCAACCAAATTCGATGGTTGGAGTATCGGCCACTGAATTATTTCTTGAATTTTATTTTTTTAATTTCTTATCGTTAATATTATTTTTATGTTTAACAAAAATACGAATGAAATTTAATTATTGTATTATGACCTTGATTAATTTTCACATTAAAAAATTAAAATTATTTTTATTTTTATATTGTAATTTTACTTATATGATTTCAATTTTATTTTTAAATTAGTGTTGCATAAATTTATGACTATTCATCTAGTATCTAACTTTAAATTTACAACTATTATAAATTTAACTTTAAATGATATCTTTATAATCAATCATGAATAAAACACTATAAAATTTGAGATAACTAGGTTGAATATAGTTAAATATGCTTTGACTGTTATCTTTCTCACATTTATAAGTATAAATATAGGGGTTGCAAGATTACCATTAATAATGAAAGTTGTATCAACGCAATATCTTTAAATATTGTAGTTCACTTAAGCTTAAAACTTGTTCTTCATCCTAAACCATATAATGTATCATATAATGTGTCATGTATTAATAATAACTTCATAATTATGAAAGATAAAACTCATTGAATTACCACCAAAACTTAGCAATAAAAACAAGAAAAAGAAGAATGCAAAAGAATAAGAACTTATCGTTATAAGTTCAAATGAGTATGAAAATGAAATTAATAAAAAATATAATAATTCTATTTTAGTAGTGAAGGAAGAATTTTTATGAAATTTTTTAATGAAACCACTTGAAAAAATAAATATAATCTTAAAAATCTCATCATATTAGTCCTCTTAAACTGTATGATTCCCCATCAATCATGTTTCACATCCAACATGTCAAAGATTTAGGACAACATGCTTCTCACCCCCTTAAGCTTGATGTCCAGCACATCATAGAGTTAGAACAATATGTTGAGCTTCCTTATCCTTTACCCTTGACAAATGATGCGAAAAATGAATATAATCTTAATTTACTAGGTTATGTTCAAACTATATCTACTAAGGTTTCAAATAGTGTTTGTTCCATTTCACACCCACAATCATATAGTATTCATAGTTATGAACCTAGAAAGTCTATGGATCTTATTTTATGTCTCTTTACTATAAAATATTTGATTCATATGAGTCTTTTGTATGTAAAATTCATAATTTTCATGTCATGATCATAAAACACATTCAAACAAGTAAAGAACAATACAAATTTCGAGTTGATTTATATAAATATCACGATGCACTTTATGTTGGAGATTATTTCATAATACTAATTAAACTTGAACGATGTCCTTTAAAAACTCGTCATCAATTGCAAGTGAATAGTGTTAAATCATTCAAAGTGCTGCAAATAATTAAATCAAATAGTTATGTCATTAAATTGCCACTAAACTTTGATATTAGCTCTATTTTTTACATGAAAGACCTCTTTTTATATAAAACACAACAGTATATCTATGATTATCCTTTTAATACCCTTGCTCTATTATTGTTATCTTTGGCACAAAAAGAACATATTAATACTACTTCGAATGCCCAAGTTGTTCTTATCATGGATGGTGAATTTTAGTGAATGCTAGTATATAAGCTAAACAACCAAATTCAAACTATACTTAGATTATCAAAGAAACATCATGAAAACTTAATCATGATCTTTAAAAGTATTATTAGAGCCGTCTTGAACTATACTCAACAAAATCAAATTTCTCCCCAAAAAAGTTAGTGAGGACATTAGACCTGAGACACTATTTACACACTCATATAATCATAAACGATGAAAGATAGCCTAAACTGTTGAAAGATTGAACTTCAGCTTATATTTTTACTTTAATTTATTTGAACTTTTAATTAAGGTTTTTTAATTAGACTTTATTTATTGGGTTTAATTTAAATATTGTTAGATATTTTATTTATTGGGCTATAAGCCTAATTATTTGTTCTACTTAGGGTTTTAGTATTTATTTTTTTTATTTTTTGTAAGTTAGACAGTTTTTGATAAATTGAATTTAATTTAATTTGTAAAGTTGCAAACTTTTCCGACCTCCATTCTTTTTTTCTTCAACTTTTCTTGTATTTTTTTGGCTTCTTCTTAGCTTCTTCTTTTCTTTCTTCTTTGACTTCAAATCACGGTGTGCTTGTGTGAGTAAGAGAGACAGAAATAGCAATATAGTTTGGTCGATTATGGGTGGGATATGAAGGAAGCTTTCTTTAACAATAAGTTATTACAGGAGTGATTTTGTCATTTTGACATAAAAAGCGAAGAAAAGAGCATCGCAAGCTTGCTGGTGGAATTCATGAAATGGTAAAATATAATCAAGAGACATCTACCATGAACCTTTTTCCTTTCTAGCAAGGGACTCAACGACAGAAATAATGTTGATGCAATTCTTCGGTTATCATCCCGTCAAAATCCAGCATTCACAATTAAGAAACTATCAGGTTTGGTATAAAACATGAGAGTTTGTATGAACAAGCAAGAAAAGGCACATCCTTGCATAGAGTGGCCGAGGCCTGAAAGTATATCAGCCTTGCATTGGGAAAAGGAGTGAAACTTAAAAGCCACTTCAGATGAGTAAGAAAAGAAAATTGTTATAGCATGAACTGAGAAACACACGAACCTTAGCAGACCTGCCTCCAGCTAGTTCAAATCCATTCCTCCATGTCATTGATATTACTGGAACTACTGAGAAACCTGAGGCAACTAACACCCCGATCCATAATCCATAACCAAATCCTCCACTCCACCATCCCTTCATTTAACAATCAGAAAATGTATCAGTATTGGATCCTTTATTATTCCTTCTCCATTTCTCTTCTGGGTAGTGTTGAAACAGGTAACATTGTTAATGTTGTCTCAAAGATGCAATTACATTGTACAGAACAATGTTTTGCAAATTGAAAGACAAAAATAAATGCCATTTAAGAAAGATTGCTAAGCTCCAAACATATTAAAGGGGCCATACTAACCTGTTTGCCATCTTGCGGGAATGGGGCTGATTGTTCTACATATGCAGTTGTACCTGAAATAAGAGAAGCATGATTTACTCAATGATTTGGGGGGGGGGCGCCTGTAGAAAAATTAACTAACACAAATATGCATCAGAACCACATATAAATGGGTACTAAATTTGGGTATCCTGGGCAAAAAAATGTACATGCATTAAATGGTAGCAAATTATTGATCTATAATTTTAATTCTATTTCGATGATAAATTCAGATTGGTATTTCATGGGTAAATAATAGATGTTGGTGATTTATATTAATTCCTGATTTCAATTCAAGATTTCAGACAGAACAATGGCAACCATCATTCAATAATTTATTCATCATGTTACAAAGGAGACACAACCTTTTATAATCCCACAGCCACACACTGTCCCAGAAATAAAATCCCCCACTCCTCACAACTTGGATTTTTCAGATCCCCTAAATTAAGGATTGAGAGGTTTCGGTATGATAATCAAGAGATAGTAATTTCTGCCCACCTAGCCAAGACCATGAAACTAAAAAAATAATTCAACAACGGGAGAAAAAGTGATGTGAAACATTGACAGAACTATAGAAGTTCTACTTAAGTAGACTAAGACTCAATCTCAAACAAATTGCCAAAAAGAACCATATAAACTCAACCCAATTCAACAAGACCTTTCTAATCTGAAACCAGTTGCAATCGACTACAATGTTAGAACCATAAAAGGTTCATATTTTCAAAAACATCAGACTGATGAAAGCATTATCCAGCATTGACTCATTTCACAAAAGTTGAACATTTTTTTGCAAAAGGTAGTCACATAACAATCCGAGCATCAAAGCTACAAATCAATTGAACAGTAGACTTAACATCTAACCGCTTTCGAATTCGTTTTCCAACCATTACTTTCAAGTGAGGAGAATCAAACACCTACCAAACAAACAATCAATTAACACATAACATTATTACTAATCCAAAGCAAGAAACTTTAAGACAAATCTTCATTAAATTTCTTCAAAGCAACAATCTTTAACTCAAAAACCAAATTGGGTAACTGGAAAAAAAAAAAGAATTACCTGAGCAGAGCAACCAGACTCATCAATTTTCAATTGTGCCAAAGCACCAGAAACATCAGGGTCAATACCGATAACCCAATTGGAGCCCGCATTATTCCGGGTCAAATCATCTCCACCCAAATTTGTAGTCTCAGTTTCATCAGGTAAAGGAAAAGTGAGATAGTCTAACCAGTTCTGTTTAAGGTCCCCCCCCCCCCCCCCCCCGCTTATTTTGTTTTCTCTA